CTCTCTAACGTGCATCCTATCGTGGCTATCCTCGTGATTGCAAGTTGATGTGTTCAATCAGTATTCTACTGTGTTCAGAAAGTAGACAAAATTGTATATCGATAATAATGGGATCCGCGTAGTGAAAAAAATCTATGAGACAGATCAATTAAAAGTTGAACCATACATCTTGGAATATTGATTGGTACGCAGAAATTTGACGTCATGTGGGAGTTGAACCAGCGTTTCACCCTTGTGGAGGACGTATGTTGCCACTACACCACAAAGGCTACCGCTTTGTAACCAGGCGAGGTTATAATGCCGATATGTGCTTACAAAACGAAACCCGTTAAGAATTGGTTGCTAAAAGATTCGCTAATTCATGTTAAAGGACTAGCGATCGCAAAGTGGTGACCTTGGTGGTATAGTGGTAGAGCACGCGCTCCCGGTAAGGGATGAAACATGGGTTCAATTCCCACCGCACGACGAATCTTTGTGTGAAAGTGAATTATTTCAAGCAACCTGTTTTTCACGTCTACTGGGCAGATCCCCTGAAGTTATTGCATTTGACTCGTTTTCTTCCAATCAACCTCCCATTAAGGTCCTCCCATTTTCTCATGAGAACTCAGCTGTTGTTCAACACTCTACGGACGGCGTGCATCGTTTTCGATGCACGACACTTTAGCGGGCTTTTTCTCCAGACAAATCTTTCTCAAGAATTTTAGTGTTCATTCGAAAATTTGCACTCTGTGGTTTCAAATCTATGCTTGGTTATCTAAAAACCTTTTTATTGAGTTGGCAAGCGATTTTCTGAACTTTTTCGCTTTTGTTAATTATTTTTCATCAATCAACTTTTGGTTATTACTATTGTTTAGAGCAGCTTCTTGCGAATTTTTTACTCATGCATTTGTTTTGAGATGACTTTGTCCCGAGAACAAAGACGATTGTTAGTTAGCGACTACGCGAGTATCGTTTGGTTTCAAGTGCTGCTTTGACAGGAGCGACACTCATGTAGCATCAACAGTCGTTTTTGCTCTTGGGGCAGTTCCATGTTAAAACAAATTCATGAGTACTATATATCAGAATAACCATTAAATGCTGCTCTAAGCGACAGTAAAAACAGAAACTCAAATGCTTGAAAAATAATCAGCATAAACGAAAAAATTCGGGAAGTTTCTAGCTTACCCAATAGTGCTCTAAATCAGTGCAACTAAGAGTGTTTCACATTCGAAGTGCTTTGTATGCACGGCTAGGGTCTGTAGATTGTTTCCATGCGATAGTACAAATTTTGGCGAATCCCTAGCCGAATTTGATTTTTGAGACGGTTTGATAGTGCGCCATAGGAGCGGAAGGAGAATCACGTTTCACTTTTGGAGTCTTTTTTGCTTATAAGAGTTGTATATCCACAACAATTACATCAGAGTGTAGAGAAAATTATGGAGCATCAGAGTATCACAAAATCAAGTTTCATTTCGAAAAGAAGAATATAATCCTTGCTAATTAACGCAAATTGCGCGCTTCTTGCGAAAATCGAGCAACTGTCGTGCCAAAAAGGTAAAGGATTTCCTCTCTGGTCTTCATTGCCCTGGTCGAGTCCAAGACCTTTCCCACTTCGATTGTGGACAGTGAACTCTCCTGGGAAGGTCCGGTACCAATTTTCCAATTTCGGAGGAGTAAGCCACGTGTGGGATCGTACAGCATCGTTCTGGTGAAAATGTACTTCACAACCACTGTGCTTCCCATCCAATTACGTATTGACAAGAACTTATTTACTGTGACCTTTCGCTGATAAGTGGCAAGTGCTCTCTAGAGTGACTTAATCGTTTGAACTCGGTTGCTCTATATTCTCATTGCTTTTGATCAGGTAGAAGAAGCCATTGAACTCGGCTTGCCGTTGTGGCCAGAGGCAGTTCGTATTGCACGTGCATATCACCGAGCGAAGAAGGATTTGGTAGGCGGGAAGTGTGAGTTGAATATAATCTGCAGAAATCTTTATTTTAATGTTTTATAGCAGTGTTGTGATGTAATGCCTATATGTCCAGTTATGTTGAGCGATATGCAAAAGTTTGTACGTGGAAATGGAGTTGAAACCGTGTTTCGTCATCGAACATAATTCTTCATTTAACCGTTTTTTTATTAGTGGTATGGTAATGTGATTGCCTCGTATCGCAGAACAAGTGATTGCGGAACTAGGCGCCGGTAATGCAGTGGTCAGCATGCGCCCCAGGAAAGGGTGAGATGCGGGTTCAACTACCTGCCGGGGTCGAAAGTCTTGCATATCACTCAACTTTACTGAATATCTGTGGTGTTTGATTTGCCAGATATGGCTAGCGTAGAACTATGCCCGTTGTTTTCTATGCAGTATGGATTCAGATTATATAGTCGGATCGGATTTCGTAGAAAATGAGCCGGACTCTCCCTACTCCTATCACGAGTTAGGTGGGTTGACTTTTGAATCACTTTTACATTTGATAGCGTTGTATAGGAGCTTCAAAGTTTCAATTGTAATCTGAACTATATGCCTTCACGAAGAGTTGAATGAAGTACAATAGTGCTGAGTGATATGCAAAACTTTGAACCTCTGGCGGAAATTGAACCCGCGTCTCACACTTTCTGGTGGCGCGTGCTAACTACTACACTATCGGGCTCATGTTTTGCTATCATTCAGAGAAGCGTTCAAATAAAGAATTGTTGTCGATCCTAAATAAAATTGCCAGTTCGTTATAGTTTTTGGTCTGCCTCGTTTTCTTAATTCGTTTTGACTGCCTAGAAAAGCAAGGACAACTTGTGGTCCTTTATATGTTTATTTCATTCGTGCCGTTTCAGTGTTTAGTGAAAAGAGAACGATTTTTTATTGTTTGATAAGTTTCAGGCCGTTACCCGGAGCATTGGGACAGAAGAAATCTCTATCAAAAGCTTTTCGGGGAGGAAAAGCAAGGTCATTCCGAACATTCTTCGACGTTCGGGGCTGGTAGTGATGCTCCTTCTCAGCATCACTTATTGTCAAAGACAATATGGTCAAAAACTTGCGATAACAATGCTAGTCCAGGTAAGTCTACTAGAGTGTGTTGAAACTGAACAAAAAATGATAAGCAGCTACCACTTGCCATTAATTTTGCTTGACTTTATCTATGCCGTAAGAAACACTCCCATAGCGCTGTGGTAGGAGGTGCCCTGCGGCACACACATGGTCGATGGCTCGATCGCGCTCCCAAGGCTTAATCTTCAAGCCTCCCTAGGATCGCCGAATTGGTACTAGACTCGTGTGGAAGGGCAGCAGCACTGACTCGATACATCAGGGGGCCATCACGAATCATTGTAAAGGCCAGATATAATGTGTTGAATCACCTCAAGCGATGCTTGATAGAGTGGAATGCATGACGCATCACCAAAGGATTGGTCATTGTGGAAAACCCTATCCTTTATCCTTTATGTTCATCTGTATTTTTGGTTTTATAGAGTTGCTTTGTTTGCGATAACCAACTTCCAATTACCCTTAAAAGTATTGCTAAATATTTTGTTTTGTTGATAAATTGTTGCGAGGGCTATGAAAGGACTTATGACAAGGAAACCATCCACCAGTGACTAAAGCTCTGGCGCTTTTGCTTTCATCAGAGCCCAGATGTCTATAGTCTAGTGTCCACAGCAGTTGTTTTTGCTCCAATATACTCAAAACAGTTGCCGTAAATTATTCTCTCTTATATCGAACGCTTTTTATAGACCCGCTCAAAATGATATAATCTGAGAAGGAATAACATGTTTTGAATTGTTAGGTCTACTGCTATACAATTACCTGTTTCGTCAATATTGAGACTCATCAGTAGCACCCTCCATCGTTTTGGCCGAGATAAAATAATCCTCTAAAACCCGAGTAATCAATTACCTCAAGTCAGATGATAGAATTATCTGACTTGGACTGATTTATTACTCATCGTCAATTCCCTTACAGAAGATTATTTGATCTTAGGGGATCGGTCGAACCGACGGAGTGTGCTACTGATGAGTCCCAATTTGACGAAACAGGTGATTGTATAGCACTAGACTTAACAGTTCAAAACATGCTATATCCTTACCAGTAAATTTTTTTCCCAACAGCAGTGTTCATCAGAGTTTCATTCTCCTAAGGAGACGACCAGATTACGGAAGAAGTCTGTCATTTCAATTCAGAAACCTCGTTAGGAGTAAAACTAAATAAGCTCTTAGTACTGCCTTTTGACTACCTTGAGCCATAAGTATTTCTCATTGTTGGAGTTGTTCGATAATCAGTGCGACCGCTTGGCAAATGACCTTCAAAACGATGGAACTGAAACTTTCCTGTAATTGTAATTGAGTCGACTTGGATTTTTGAATGTCTAATTGTTGAAAAATCGTAAACAAGCCAACTTAGTTTGTTTCTTCGTACGATGTGCGTATGGCGGGAACAATACTACGCAGAGGGATAAGTCTCTCCTCGTTGATTAATCATTGAGGAATTCACCATGCAGTCTTCATCAAGCATCGCTTGAAATGAATCAGTACAGATCTGGCCTTCACATTGCGGTGGTCTTGATGTATCAAGTCAATGCTTCTATGCTCCCATAGTAGCCTACTACCAATTCACCGACGGCGAAGGGATGGAAGGTTTTGTGAGCTCAAGCGCAGGACCGAAATATTAGCCATCGAATATCGACCATATGTATCGCAATAAGAGCGCATCTCAGTGGTTAAAGGTGCTCTACGTTGCTCACAAGGTCGATGATTTGAACTCGCGCTCATGATTCGCCAAGCTCTCCATCCATCAGGGGTCGGTAATATTGTACTAGACTTGTTTGGCGGGCGGTAGCACCGACTCGATACAATGTTAGGAGACTGCGAGTTATTGTAAGAGCCAGCTATGCTCTCGATCACCTCAAATTATCAAAAATTAAAGACGACTATTTGGTTCATCCCTCAGGATTGATTAGCGCTGACAGTTCTATCTCTATCCTTTTTATGTCTATCAAAGCACCTCTTACCAGTGCTCCCCACGAGCTCATATGAAGAGCATATCACGAGGAATGTTACAAGAGTTCAAAAAAAGCTGAGATTGAAATTTTTCATCAGCAACATTCTCTTCTTTAGATGTCTGTGCTAGAGCTCACTTTGAGACTGACAAGAACAAGCATATTGAGTTGCTTCTTGGGGGCGTCAGTGCCCGTGAACTTGATTATCTCCAATCTGAGTGCAATTCTCTTGATATCTGCCAGGTAGTTATTTGATCATTTATCACATCTTCTCTTCTTACCACTTTATATACTTCAATTTTTATTTCAATATTTGAGATATCGGATGATGGTAATTCTAAGTGCGAAAATAGGATTGGAAGTTCTCCTAATACTTTGAATTTTGTGGACTGTGAACGACAGGTTTTGTCCGAGACGCAAATTCATGGTATACCAGATCTATCTGAGGCGAAGTCTGGAGAAGAAGAAATATGTAGCGAACGCGAATCCTTGGAGGATGTTGATAA